TTATGTAGTAGTAGTACTAATTTTTATGTGAATTCAAAGCGTAAGTAAAAAGGTACATGGGAGCAGATCACCGAACAAAAATAAATCAGCAGAGTCAATATGCGTCCAGATTTGAGTGGTACATGCCAACTATAACAAAATTTATTTTGTATGGTACGGGGTTAGTTATGAATTCAAGTTTAAGATATAACTCTATAATCTAGCTCAAATAATTCTTCACTCATAATTTAGTATATTAGTAACGGATATAAGATAAATTTAAATATCGTTTTCGATATTTGTGAAAAGAACTAGAATGACTCTTCTAATAAGCGTTAGTATCAAATAAGAGTAAAAGAACCTAAATTATTGATAATATTTGAGAAAATAGTCAATGGAGAGACTTCATAAATAAATGAAGATTACGTTTTTGAGCAGTTGGATAGAAATGTCCCTTATCATGAGTAATTTCAACTTTCAATTTTTATGCTATATGCTAAAACAAAATTTCATGTCAGAAATGTGAACTGATTAGAAGTTTGTGGCGTTGTGCTGGTTGGTTCACAGAAGATATTTTGTTGGTGTCTTCTCTGCTTCTATGAAAATTTTGTGTACTGTTTGTATGGCACGAGGCCGCCAAATACACAGTTCAAGAAGTAGTAGCCTACTAGCCTCGTGTGTTTAATACGATTTCCTTAACCCATGTTAGGTCCGCCTAAAAGACTTCTAGCTCGTCCTCAAATATAACTTAGCTTACAAAACAAATAACAAACAATCATAATTATAAGTGAAAGTTTTTGAAAGTTCAATTTTTTGTGAAACTAACTTGTTTTGCTCGTGCTGTGGACTGTTTAGGACTTTTGAGATGATATCATTGATATGTGAATCCACCCATGCCCTATACAAAGTTACAAACTCCTTATATATATATAGTGGATAAGGAAATTTGTTGGTAATCAATACAAGTACTTAACATTATCTCCGAGTAAAGACCATGTACATGTGATCATAATTCACCAGAATTCCACTATAACAAATATTTATTTGATTACAAGTTTACAACGATGTCTTTCATGCTCCACTAGAGAACATACAAAGAGACTTCACTTTCGGAATAAATAATCATTCTCCAATAAAGAGAAAAATCAAACAATTCCACTACACGAACTATCAAACAAATAAAACAGTCCAAACAACCTTTGGGACAATACAATTCCAACTACAATATATCTCATATTTAGCTCAATATGCTTGTTAAGTTTTATATTAATATCCAGAAAAATCTCCCCATCCGATTTCATACAACCAAAATCGCCTACAGTGAGGTAATTATCAACAAAAACTTTTCTAATGATGTAATTATCTCCAATGAATATATTTAGAGAATATGATGAGGTAGTTAAGATTTAAGGTGAAAATCAGAAAAAGAGAAAACAAAAGGCTGTTATTGTATAGTTGGAAGGGTAAATGAACCTCGTACCGAGAAACCCACCACAAAGCTTATCGAGACAACCTAAAGAAAAAATCGAAGCTGAGAAATAGAATAACAATAGAGTTACAACATCGAGGAGATATCCCAAATCTCGTTGTCTAACTTTATAGCTTTATAAAATTAAAAAAAAAAAAAACAAAAATCATTCACAACTTTTTACACTTTAGTTTGACTTTAGTTCCAACTAGCTTCTTTATTTATGAGCTATTTATACTACATTTTCTTTTTTTCTTTTTTATTCATACAGAAAATAGCGCAAGAGTTGTATATAAGCCCAAATAGCCTAAAAAGCTCAATAATGGGCCTTATGATTATATAAGCCCAAGAGTTTAGATTGAGGCCAGATATTTTGTTGCGCCTGATATTTTCAAAATTCAATTTTTTTCCACACTGTAAAGCGGGCTTCTCAAATTCAATGTAGGGTTTCTCAAAAATCATTGCAACAATTCAATTTCAGATGTATGGTGGTGAGATGCTTTGATTACAAGTCGGCGTTGAACAATTCTCCGATTTTACACTCTAATCCAATCAGTGATCGATTTTTGGTCGTCGTTGTTCTCAAGATCTGAGGTTTTCTGGAATCTCAAATCGGCGATTTACAGAGAGAAGTGAGCTGGAGTAGATGGCGATCATATTTGCGTTGGTGGCTCGTGGAACGGTGGTGTTATCGGAGTTTAGCGCTACTTCTACTAACGCTAGCTCAATCGCGAAGCAGATTTTGGAGAAGTTGCCTGGAAACGATAGCGATAGCCATATGTCTTACTCTCAGGATCGGTACATCTTCCATGTGAAACGAACCGATGGTCTTACCGTTCTCTGTATGGCCGATGAAACCGCCGGAAGTAAGCCGCTTCTCTCGCTAATTTCATCAATTTTACATGATTTGGCTCTGAGTTTCTTCGATTTCTGCTGAGATCTTATCTCAATTTTGGGGATTTGGAAGGTAGAACTCTGTTATTTGGATTAGAAATATGTTGATGAATATTTTCTGGGAAGCATTTTGGTGATGTTAGGATTTTGTCACATATGACTTGCGTCTAGTTTCTGATATCTTCTTTTGTTGCTGCAGGGAATATTCCGTTTGCGTTTTTGGATGATATTCATCAGAGATTTGTGAGAACGTATGGCCGTGCGATTCATTCTGCTCAAGCTTATTCCATGAATGATGAATTTTCAAGAGTTGTGAGTCAGCAGATGGAATACTATTCCAATGATCCAAATGCAGACAGGATGAGCAGAATTAAAGGTGAAATGACTCAGGTAATGTTACAAAATCATCTCTTTTTTTGCGGTACTCAACAGTCGACAATTTATGCAATATGTAGCTTCATGACTAACTATCATGCTTGATTTTGTTTTCAGGTTCGAAATGTGATGATTGAGAATATTGATAAAGTCTTGGATAGAGGGGAGCGCTTGGAGTTGCTGGTTGATAAAACCGAAAATATGCAAGGCAACACTTTTCGTTTCAGAAAGCAAGCTCGCCGTTACAGAACCATTATGTGGTGGAGGAATGTCAAGCTTACGTAAGTTTTCTCATCTGAAAATGATATACCTGATAAACTTGACGAGACAAAAATCAGCAGTTTCTTGCTCCAATTCCATTACACGGTTTCTTGTGGATATTGATCACTTCATAGATATTATTATTTCTTCGTGGAGTTTTTGTTGCTGTTTCTCTCTGCTCATGAGGCTTGTTTTTCTGCAGGATTGCTCTGATACTTGTACTCGTTTTGGTTGTATACTTCGCGATGGCCTTTGTTTGCCATGGGCCAAGTCTTCCTTCATGTTTCAAGTAAGAAGACATTCTCTTATCTTCACCATTCCCTTCTTGGGAATTTATCAGACTCTGCTTCCATTTTGAAATGTGAGCTATGCCTTGTGTAAAATGTGTGTTTATGTGCTCTTTCATGTATCAGTTTCTACATATTGCTTTGAATTAGAAAATCTTTCGTTATTTGTTAGTGTGATATTTCACTGTTAATGATCATCCCCTGTCTGTTTGCAATTTACGCTGCCGCGTTAAGGTTATATAACTTTTTTATACGATGACGTTTTTAGCTTTTGCTGGATCTGTGAAGAATTTCTAACTTCTAAGTTCTCATGGGATTTTGATTTTTGACTAACCAACCCAATCGAAAATTGAATCAGATTCTATAATGTTTTCATCTTTTTTTATACCTGAATCGAAAAAGAAAAACAAACAAAATTGCTTTATATTCGATTGGATTTAGATTTACTTTGATTAAAAACCAAAAGTCCACAAAATGAAAAAGAATCTGTTGTTTATTCCCTAAACAATTAACGATATACATATCAGCAGCATATGAAAGCCAGATCCAATTTACGTGAAAATAAAAAATGGACTTTGGGATCAGCATTTGGAAACGCAAACGAATTAAAGATATGTTCTTCTCTCTATCCAAAAAATCAAATAATAATAAAACCAAAAATTTCTTCACAAAACGTCGTTAAAAACAGATTGATCTTGAAACTTCTCGACTTTAGATCTCAGAAACACAAATCTCTTATCAAGACACGTCCGCTTCATCTCCAACGAACCCAATTTCCCTGTTGTCTCCATCAGTCTCTCCCTAAACTCATTCATCTCCTTCTCCTTCTCTGCAAGCTTCTTCAAACTCACTTCCATTTCTTGCTTTGCAAGCAACAAACCGTGCTCACAGGCCTTTTTCTCCATAACTGCCATTTCGCGTCTGTCAAAGTACCTTGTGGCTTCAAGAACCTCCTCAAGAACGGACCGGAGCCAACCTACTCGGATCTTTGCCGTCTCAATGTCATTAACGATCGCTAGAATCTCAATGGCCCGTGTTTCAGATAGCCTACGCAGAGGCGTTGACTGGAGTTCGATAACAACCTCGGCTAGAGTCTCGAGGTGATATATTCGTGTTGAAAGAGACTGTAGCTTGGAATTTGATGTGATGTCTCCATACTTATCGAATATGCTTTGAAGAGTAGAGGATAGACTAGCTTTGACTTTGTATTCTCCGACAGACACAACGTCGCACGAATCAGAGGTTTTGATCACAAGAGACTTGCTCAATGGAGAAAAAAGGAGCTCAGGGAAGAGTAAAACAGAGTCTTTGTCGTCATCATCATTGAAAACAGAGTATGCACTGTTCCAATGAGGAACATGAAGTAGAGAGATCTCTGAACATATACTCATCTCTGTCTTTTACTTATGAAACACAGAGAAGGAGAAAGTAGTTGAGTTCGGAAAAGAGAAAAGCTTTTGTTATTTGTGTTTTGTTTTTTTGGTCACAAGAAAGCTCGAGAGAAAAATCTGAAGTTCTCTTCCTCTCTTTCCCTCTTTTTATAGACGTTTATGTCAAAGGCTTTGGTTTTTTTTTTTTAACGATAATTTATTATTTTTTGGAGTTAGCAACGATTCTGACTTTGACTCGAATCACGCTATGATCGCGTTCTTGACTTTGTCAACATTTTCTGTTTTTGGTAATTATTTTTCTCAAACCAGAGGAACCAAAAACAAAAGATATTAAAAAGGAAAGTGTCAAACGTGAACGAGTCAGAAACATGCGAAACTTGAAGGGCAAGAAGGCCTAGGCAGAAGCTACGTTTAAACTTCAAAGTCGTCTATAATTAAAAAGGAAAAATCTTTTTCAAATGATGATCAGAAATGGGCCTTTTTTGGGCTTCCCAAACACTACAAGTAGACCTGCTTGCAAATTGTACGTTTCATTCCCAAACGAAACCTAGAAGGCTTGTTCTAATCGAAAATCCAGAACGGGACATTGTTTAGTTTCTGAAGATCCTATATTATGTATGTGTATTATATATAAAAGAGTATAACAATATGTAGTTCACTCTGAAAGAGGGATTCGAACATTAAGCCTCCGTAACCAAATAGAATGCATGATCATATGCAACATATCATATGGTTTTGAAGGTCTGTTTATCACAAAGTGTTTCCGAACTTCAAGCACTCTCCTCTGCATCTCTAAGTACTCTTCTTCTGATATCGCTTCTAGAATCTTCTTTATGTCAGGCATCTTCGATATTGGAATATGAACCGAGAATGTCTTCCAATTCAACACGTCGCTGAACGGGAGAACGTAAGAATCCGCGATGATGACCGGAACGCAACCCGAGTAAAGAGACTCCACGATTCTTGGACTCGCCACTTCCCAACCGCTCGGACACAAACAAAACTTTGCCTTATCCATCATTTTCGTGTAGTTCATGGTTTTGGGGAGATACTCGTAGACAAGGACGTCTTTGTCTTTTTCTTTCCATTGTTCGAAAAGTATTTTCCGGACTTCTCCGTGAGAACCGCCCGCGAAGAATGCTAAGAGTTTGCGGTTTTGAGGCGCTTCTCCGGTGTGTACAAACCCTAATTGGCTGTGGGGAATGTTGATTTCAGGTAATGAAACGTCTCTCATTGGGGTGAATCCCTCGGAGGCATTGGCATTGCAGAGAGCTCTGATAAAATGCCTGTATAGTTCTGGATCCACAGCTGAGACATCAGGTGCCTTGAACAACAAGGAAGAAAAAAAGGAAAGTTAGAGTTAGGGTTTTTACAGTTTACTTACTAAACAAGAAATGGTTATAAATTGGGACTCACCCAATCGTGACAGGAGAGGAAGAAGTGGTCAGCACCACGACTGCGATTCCAGTAAGGGTAACGGTTAGAGATGAGAGAGATGTAGTCTTTGACAATGTTTTGGAGACGGTCACGTGCATAGCTAGTGTAAGGTCTATAGACAAAGCGTATGATATTGACGATCCCTACAGGGATGTAGAACACGGTGGCTTCCTCCGGTGAAGCCGCCTTGTAACGGCTGTTTCCGTTCTCGATCTCGTCCATGAATTGGCCTTCAATAGCGTAAATGTTGTTGAGTGGACCTTTGTGAAACAGAGGAGCTTCTCCTTCTCTATATGTCCATATCTTGAATCTCTTCTCCATCTCTCTGTGACTCCTGTTTAATTGTTATGTGTAAAGAACAAACATTACATATTCTGTGATTTGCATAAATATCTTTGTGTTTGTCTAGAAATATAGATAAAGTGTATAATGTGAGACTTTTAAACCTTTTAACATAGAAGTAAGAACAAAGTGAGTGATGTGTTTGCAAATGTCAAGTTGAAAGATGGAGAGAAAGTATGGAGAACTCTTAAAGCTAAAAACTACTCTTTCCAAAAAGTGTGATTTTGAATTCTGAAGAGAGAGAGAGAGAAATGAAGACATGAAGAATAGGGGCTAAAAAGATATTTAAAACAAAAATAAAGGGAAAAAGGGACCTTGAAACTGCAAAACTAGTAGTGTGTAGGTTGCTAAAAATAGAAAGTTACATAGAATATTGATGTTGACATATATTTCTGTTAAGGGTGATTTTTGGAGTCATGGAAAAAAAAAAGTACAGATCATAATGAGTACCTACTAGTTAGCTACATATATTTTTATTTTTATTTTTAATTCCACTTTTTCATCAAGCCTACCTTTTTTTAGCTTAAGTGATGCCCATGAATTTAACTTAAAAAAGATGCTTAACTAACTCAAATCTAACAAGGGAAATTACCTGGTGATCAAACTAAACAATGTCGTTACACTATATACCAATTTGTATATTTGCATAATAACATAAAAAAAAAATAGAAATATAGAGAGAGAAAAGAGTAAGCAAAAATAGAAAAAAGTGAGGAGAAAGAAAAGGTCTTAACTGATGAAAAGTAAAAGCGTTGAGATAGACAGATCCACTTGATACGAATCCCACATCCGAATTATTCGTCCGATCACGACGGAGATTCTCTTCTCCGGCTTTCCTTATGGCGGCTCTAGCCATCGCCAAACCTTCTTCGATTCTCTCCACCGCTTCATCAACTTCTTCTACCACCACAACTTCTGACGTCGACTGTTTCCAATGTAAAACAAACATAAATTAAATAATTCATCAAAATAATAAATTAATATCTCTTAGCAAAGCTAATTCCTCATACCTAGAAGACAACAGAAATAAAATAAATAAATTAAACTTATATATGAAGAAATTAAAGGATGTAACAAAAACTGAAAGAGAAATTAATGTACATTGTTGTTGGAAGTAATATTGAGACAAGAAGAGGAAGAACGGAAAGGGAAGATTCTCAAGGAAGAGAAAACAGCTTGTGGAGAAGACGAGAGACGACAAGAAGGATCATCATCGAGGACGGAGGAGAATATTTGGTTATGGTGGTTAATTGAGTAGAAGAAGAGGATGATGACGAGTGATGGATAGAGCAAAAACGGCGTCGTACATGTCAGATCCGCCATTAAATATGTGATTAGGATCTTTCCTTCTTCTTCAAGGTGTAATTTAATTAGGGTTTGGTTTTGATTTTTACAGATGACAAGGAGGAATATGGCAAGAAGAAAAAAGAGATGATTTTGATGAATTTTAGGGTTGTTTGGTTGTTTGATCGACGTCTCTATAGTGAGGTTTATTATTTACTCTCTTCTCCTTCTTCTTTTTTTATTTACTTCCCCTACTCTTCGATTTATATGTGTGTTACTCTTTGACCGTCTAATCCGGTTTCAGATTTTTTGGGTTAACAAAATTCATTTATTTTTTGGTCAACGAATCAAACATGACTCTCGTGTAATTTGTTTTTGGTACGGTTTAGGTTGGATTTGGTTCGGTTCTCTAATTAATTTTCTTTTCGTTTTTCTTTTTTTGTTTTCATTCTAGATTGGCTTAAATTTTTGTTACGGTTATCCAAATATAAATCAAAAAAGGAAAACATAGATTACATTCAACTCAATTATCTTATGTTAATAAATAATTAAATATAAAAGATAATCCCCTCGTCAAACTCGAGATTGTAGAGGATTTGTACGTTTTCTGTTAATAGACGTAAATATTAATTAGAAGGATGGATATACGATTAGTAGTCTCTAGTCGACACGTATTATGTATTTAATTACTTTACTTACATATGGGAAAATTTTGAACTATGTCAAAAGTGCATTGCATATAATCCTATGAATTTTATACACTTAATATCATTTTTTTTGTTCAAACATATACACTTTAATATCATTTTCAGAACAAAACTAAAATATAGTTTTGTTAGAAAGAGAGAAGCCCAAGCAAGTCTACAAAAGGAAAAAGCAAAAAGGCAACTACTTTAACGACTTACATCGACACTGCTGTCTGCTGTTTACTTGTAGTTTCTGGTTTTGGTACCTTTTTTTTTGTTGAAATGGTAAATAAATTGATGGTAAAACCGAAAGACAAGACGTTAACAATCGGTTATTGATTATTCTGTTCCGTTTTACTGTTTATTTTTAGTTATATATACTATTCTTTTTTTTGAGGAAAGTTATATATACTATTCAAACCAGTAAAAACTTCATCAATTCAGTTTTTTTTTTTTTGACGTCTAGATTTATTATTTATTGCAAATTATGAGAACTGTTACATAGACGATTCTACAACGGACAATTCCTTCCGACCCTTATTAGATCTACGACAGACGACACTTCCTTCTCCATGCTCTTGACAGACACCTTCAATGATCCACGACCTGGCGACACTTCTCTCTCTGCGTGGAATCCTGGCGAACGGCTATAATTGTACTTCGCTGGAGATCTCCTGCACACTTACCTCCTTTAATTTGCAAATTTATTAATAAATCGTAATATCTGGGACTCGAACCCCAGACCTCTTGGTGTAGAAGCATTAATTAACCTTTAGTCAACCAATGGGCCAAGGGGCTTCCACCATCAATTCAGTTTACAAATGAATCTTTTATGACATACTATTATCTTTTACCGCATCTAAGCGCACTGCTTAGAACTTTGCTCTTCCATAGTTAATATTGATTACTGCGCGCATAAAGATTTCATGTCACCAATACTATAAAGTAAACATGAGAATTTTCGATTATACAAAGATTATTTCAATACATCACCGCAAAAGTCCAACAAAAAAAAATTGTATTCGGCGACAATCTTATTGGAATACTGCACTTTGTTGTCCGTTATGATTATCAATTAGCAATCATTGCATATTGGTCCAACAAAAACTTCTTTTATTGAGAAAAAAAACAGCCTCAAGGCTTGATCCCAAGCTTTTCTAGAGCGGCCTTAATCGCGTCACGACCACATTCTGTAGCTTCGGTGATATTGGGACTGTTCAGTGGAGTCACATCCTCCATTGGGTAGCTTCTGTTGCCGGGTAGCTCACGCAAGTCACTAGCTAAGCCTTTAAGTATCACTGTTTTGTGAATTCCACCAAGCAAGCCTTCATAATCCGTGTCACCTGAATCTCCCACGAACACCACCATGTTCGATAAGTCAATGCTCCATCGCACTAGCAAATACCTGAAAACAGAGGAATACAAATGCACTGTCATCACTGAGAGCTCAAACCCTAAACTATATAATTCATGGTTTTCAAATCCAAGAAAGTGAAAACTTGATGATGCGTAGATATAATGGTTTATGATGGAAAATTACCTAAGGGCCTGAGATCTTGAGGCAAGAACAGGGATTACATTAAGCCTAGCTCCATTTTGGCAGTAAACTACATTGCAACGTAATGCTTGAATTCTCATCAATTTCCTCAGCTCTTTCATTGGAGGAATCTGCACAAATTGAATAAAATAAAATTTGATATTTAGAAGGTAAAAACCGAAAATCAATGTTTCAGGACGAGCAAAAACTATATAGACTGAGGAGGGGTGTAGTTACCAAAGTGGGATCTTTCACTTTGAAGGATAAGCAATAGTTGGTAGAAGAAGACTCGTCTTCAACTAAAATCTCTCCTTGTTTCGCCTTTTTTTTCTCTTGAACAGAACTAATCCAGCGGATCAAAGTCTTCCTCAAGCTCTCTCCACCCCAGCGGAATTCTATATGGGAATGGTAATCTGCATCAAGTGTATAAGGAAGTGCGGTCTTATCCTCAGAACCAGCAGACGTGAAGTAGAGTTCACTTCCACTGCTGCAAATAACAGCATCAAAGTCTTGTGGTTTCAACCCTCCTGAAAGCAATGCTGTGTGAGTCTCAGATACAGTCATTGAGGTTGAGAGTATGAATCCAGTTGAACCGCCTCTTCCTGCAGCATCAATAACTGTTTTCACCACTGCGAGAAGATCTGAGGTTGCGCTGCAGTCCACAGAAATGACAAATATATGTTTCCGTCTTTTCAAAGTCGGCATCTTGGACTCAAATTTCTCTGCCGGTTTGCTCTTTTGTGCCAAGGTTGAAACAGCTTTCTCTACCTCAGCTTTACGTTCAGCAGCGCTGTCTTCAGTATCTAAGTTAGTATCTACACCATTGTTACTTCCACCCCTTTCGCCATCTAATGAAAGTTTTAGGTTCAAGGAGATGTCATGAATATCTCTAAGAGAGTCGCTGGGTGAATCGGGGTCTGAGTTCTCAAACTCAACTATCTGCCATTTAGGATGTCTTTGCTTGCACGAAGCTATCCGAGCCAAATATGTTTTGCAATGCTCTGGCCATGAAAACAGGTGAATGTTTTTTAGGCCGTTTTGTCTGCATCTTCCCCATAGCTGTTTGTCAGATACTAGTTTCAGGAGAGCATCAGCTATAGCTTGCTGATCATGAGGGTCAATTAGAAGACCATTGTCAAGAACCTACAAGTTAGTAGCAAATATCAGCTATAGCTTGCTCTGCAATGATTGCGCAGTGCTGTATAATGCAAAATTTTCTTTTAAAATATGAAAAGCGGCAAACCCGATGAATATCGACAGGTCCTCCATTTATTGTTGCAACAGTGGGAAGCCCATGAGCTCCTGCCTGTTAGATACAGTGCGTGTTAAATTATAAGGGACCTTGAAATGAATAGAGCGCTGAAAAGAGAATAAATGATAATACCTCGATTAAAGTCAGTCCAAATGGTTCGATGAAAGCTGGATTTATAAATACTCCCTGAAAAAAAGGTTTGACATAAGACGGATAAACAATGCAAGGAAAACTAATTCCCAGAAACAGCGGCAAACACAGGCTATTTTAATGTGGGAACAATTATTGAATGATCACTGCAAATAATTTATGAAGTTCATTTCCTATAACCACTTACAAAGGAAGAGATAAAAAAAGAAATATATACTGGGACTTACATGAGCATAGAGGAGAAAAGTAAACACGTTTGACCATTACCTTTGTTTTGGCTGCTAAACGATAAATTTCTGGTACATCAGATTGTTGGTGATGCTTAGGCATTGCCACTTGACCATATAAGTCGTACTTGTCGATTAGCTTCAAAATTGAGAGCAGCACAGAGGAATTCGTGGAGGACAACTCATCGATATCATTTCGATTTCCCATTATCAATGTCTGCAAACGAAGATAGTGAAATAAGAAATGAAAAAAAAAGTGAAACACACTTCCAATGAATTAGTTGGAGATCATGATTCTAAAAAGAATCACAGCAAGACTTACAAGATTCGCAAGCTCACGTAATGGACGGCATTCTCCAAAGGCTTTGACTAGAGTAACCAAGTTCTTTTTAGGGTCTGGCCGAGCAAGAGCAAGAATCATAGGCTTGCGCGGGTTAGAGAAGAAGCGCATAATCTGCCCAAGTGAAGAGTTCGTAGTGAGTATAAAGGTACCAGAAAATCAAATATAGAAAATGTGAAACCTTTGATTAAAGAAAGAAAAAAAGGCTATGATTTGAAGATATGATAACCTCAGACCAAATTGGTGGATCAGCAGATTGTGGATTTTCATCATCTCCATCTGCATCCACATCATGTGGTACAATGTGATGAAATTCCATTCCTGGAGGAATAACCTAGAACCACATGACAAGGCTACCCATGAGTCATGATAAAAAAAAAAACTTCTCACGTATAAGTCCTGAAGAAGTGAGGAACATAGAGGATCAGAGAGGACAGAGATGATACTTACAACCATGCGAGGCATAAATCTGCCTAGACAGCTCACACCCCTTTTCATTCTTGCTCTGAGTTTACGCTCCAAAACCGGATCAAAACCATCATAAAGGCGCCATTGCTCTTCTATCTCTTGCCTTGTACTAGTTATGATAATCTCAGAAGCATCAAGACATAGCTCCTCTGCCTCTATCCGTCTCATTATCTTGTAGTTGGAATTTATTTCTTCTTTTGGCCGCCCTTGTTTCAGGAGTTGCTCAAGCTTATCACGACCAAGAGAATGGCCAGTAAAAACCATTGGTACATTCAGAGCTCCAGATAGAAGAGCAGCGGAATCACCAGCATCTGCATAGTGCCCGTGAATAGAAACTGGCCACACTTGTTGTCCACCACCAATTTGCTCACCAAGAACCTTTGAAATCTGCATGATATGGCTAAGTGCCCTATCAACAAATTCAGGGATATGAGGCCAGAGGAGCTCTTTTGGTACATATTTATCTTTCGGACCAAAAGGAATACGGATTATATAAGCGCCACTACTCTCTCCATGCTCCTGCTCTGTATCTGTGTCTAAAGGATGTAACATCTCAGACGGCTCAGAGTAGCTGGAATCCACATCTGGCGCGGATACCTGTCTGGTCAACAAATCGACACGATAGACTCCTGGCATTGAGCCTAATGCCCTTGCAAGTTCCACAACATACTTCACCTGAGTGCAGAAATCGTTTTATACATGTGTGAATTGAGAAATTTCAAAACTCAAAAACAACAAAAAAAAAAAAACTGTTTGCGGTAGATGATTACCTGGCCACCAGTATCAGAATCCCGACCAAGCTCCATGTTTTCACCACGTATCAAACCATGAAGACTGCAAGACAATTTCTACAATTACTTACCACCATGTGAAACAAACTTATCCCAACTACAAACACACAAACTCTCAAGTAATGACCTATACCTTATTAACACAATGTAAAGCTTTTTCTCTTTGTGTTGAGCAAACCAATTCTCAAACACGTCCACAGAACTAATCCGAGACATCCTTCCTTTGGTGTTGTTATCACTAAGAGTTGGGATTTCACCAGGCAAATCTGCCTTCTCTCCTTCAGAGAAATCTTCTGACATCTCAGCAGTTACTTCCCTCCTTGCTTTTTCACGCTCACGCTGCCTTTTAGCTTCACGCTTAGCATTCTTCCCTTCAACCTGATTAAACATTTCACAACCACCAATCATTAACTCATCAAAGCAGATTGAAAATCCAGTAATCTTCATAGCACAACAAGATACAGAAAGATAACGATCAAGCAAACGATCGATTTCCCGATCCTAAAACGAAATCACGAACCTGCTTCTTCTGACGAGCCAAATTCCAGATCCTCCAACACAAATTCTCCAACCTCGTGTTCCGCTCTTGCGGACTCCTCGTCGCAGCAGCCTTTGAATCAAGAAGAAATCAACCACGATCAATCGACAGAAACATCAATACACAAATCCAAAGCGAAGAGGTATACCTGAACCCAGGAACGGTGAAGATCAGTCTCATCGAAGCCTGTGATAACCTCTTCGACGAAATAACGAGTAGGACTGAAATGGCCACGCTCTCTCAGCAGAAGAGACGATTTGGAATTTCCGATTCCAGGCGATTTGGAATTGCCGATTCCAGGTTCGGCAGCGAGAATCGCCTCCAGGTAACTATTTACCCAGTCGTTTCCCACCATTATTGTTCGCTCCCAAACTCAACGATCCGGAGAAACCAGAAAGCAATCTCTCTGCAAAAACTCGGGATCGGATATAAAATATTGATGATGGCTGTGTGATCTTTGGGTTACGAAATCTGGAGATGGAAGAGAGATGTCAGTTTCTAGAAAACGAACGAGAGACGAAGAAGAAGGAGAGGGAAAGAGGTGATTTGGCGAATTTGGGAAAAAACGTCTCTTCACTTTCTTTCTTTTTTATCACCCAAAAATTGAATTTTAAGTAGTATTAATTATTGTTATAAGCTTCAGTATCTGCTATAAATTGTTGAAGGAATATCCGATTTTGTCATCTCATCAAATTATTGATTGACTCTGTTTATTATTAGAAAAATATTTGTTTTGGAAATAAAAAGAGTGATGTGTCGAAATAACGAGTCACGTAAAAGCGTCAGCGAACTGGAAGATTCCATGACGATTTGTTTATGCATATTGGGTGTGAGTGACCAATTGATATCAGTGAGGGATTTACATTTGGCAAACTCTAGACCAAGAATAAGCATAAAGAATCATTTCTTTATCAATCACCAAAAAAAGCATATATAATCTGACTTTATTTATTTGACAACAAGCATTCAAGCATTAGAAGATTATTAATACGAACGAATATTATAATCTTAATACATTAATACATTGAGCAGCTGTCTACACTTTAATTCATTTGTTTACTTCACCTTCACGAGTCACGACTATGCCTAGCCACGATATTACTGCCCACGTAACACGCTCAAAATCAGCTATTATAAACTTACAAGCTTTTAATATGTGAATATATTTGAAATTTGAAAAGTAGATCTAATTTCTTAAAAAAAACAATTGACAGAGAGACCCAAAAAAAACAAGAGAAATATTCAAAAGTCATACTTTAGGTTGAATTATTGATTTATCATTATATATTTTTTCCTATCAAAACTATCACTTCTCCACGCACGTATTTAAGTAAATATTCTTTAACAAAAATAGTATTTACATAAATATTTTTGATGTCATTAGTTAGTATTAGTATTTTAAATTTATCATTTAAATATTTTAAAACACAGAAATCTGTTGGTCATTAAATAATTATTTTCCTTTCCTTGTAATATTTTTTTCATGGTGCTAATTATGATCATGTAAAGTAGGAGTGCTAAAAGAAAGGTCATCGTCAAAACCAAATTTATTCACAATACTACGAATTAAAAGAAGAAGTTAAATTGTCGAGTAAAATGAATATAAACAAAACAAAAGGCGTATATTTAATACTTGTATTAGTTTCTTCTGTGGCAAGGAAGAAAGATTAATCATATACTAATTCACAAAGAAACAAACATCAGCACACTTTACAAAATTACAAAATAAAAATAAAAAATAAAATAAAGTAAAGCAATGTGGTAATCGAGAGAAGAAGAAGCCGAGAAGGAATCATCAAGAAGCGTCTCTGAGCTTAAGCCTAGGAGTCCATTTGAGATGGACACAAAGCTTCCCTGATTTAGCTCCGTCTAATTCAAACCACTCTTGAAACTCTCCTTCTAACATCACTCGTGTCAATGTCATTATCACTCTCCCTATCTTATCCTTACCAAATTTGTCATGGTCCCATACTTCTAGCATCAATAGATCATGCAAAGCATCTTCCACTACAAAATCAAATGTCTGGTTCCAAACCGGATTCAAGCTATCCGGTACCACCCTTGTCTTGGATTTCGATTCCGATTTCTTCAATGTGATTACCACAAATGGATCTGCCTTTCCCATGAAATCTACAGCTGGTAAGTCTTCAGCAGCCACCACTGTCACAGACAACACTCCTCTCACTATCACATCTTTTTTCTTCGAGGTCGCCGGTTTTTTCACATCCGTAGCATCGGAATCCTCGCTTTCCGGCTTAAGTACCTTCTCTAAAATGGTCAATGAGTAGTCCGGGTTAAATGGGTTCTTCAATCCGCCTTCTTTGCCTAAAGGACAATATAGGAGCTCCAACTGCACCTATATCACCACAAATATATCTTCAATACTATTAAAAGAGATGTTAGCAAAGAAAATATTTTGATCTAATAATATATTGCTACATTGTTTTTTTTTTTGAATTTGGAAACAATTTTACGAGTAGGAGGAAATACTAACCTGACCCCGATTTTTTGTATCCCTTTGGATCTCTAAATCCTTGACTAGCTTCAACCAAATATCTTTAACTTTCCCGGGCACGAGTTCATTTAACGGTACTTGCGCAGCCCCAATAAGCTGAGAAGATCCAACTCCTTCGTCGTCAAACACTCTTACTGTCAAATGTTGAGTTGAGACATCTTCCACAATGAACTCAAAATGTTCATTCCAAATCGGATTCAACGAGTTACTCTTAATGACATTAAAGAGAAATAGCAAGAGAGTTATGCACAATCCAAATCCGCAAGATAAAGATATTGGAATCTGGTAAGAGGGAATTTCTTACAATAGTTTTGGTCCTTTTGGTTTTGTCACGCAAAGGGCGAATGAATACAACAGCGTAAGGATCAGATTTTCCAATCATGTCTTTGTTAGCTAAGTCCTTTGCTTGCACAAGCTTCACATCTAATTTTCCAACAGGTTTCAACTCCAGATCACTGTTAAAACACATCAGATCTTTATTAAATGGTCTTCACCAAAACATTTTCATTCAAAGAAGCAAAAAAAACCTGTAATCTCCTGGTAATATAGGTATGATTTTCCTAACAGGCCATGTTATACTGTCTTCTATTGCGTCACGAATAGTTTCCTGTCAAAGACGTTACTGGATTTTTTTACCAATAATAGGTAACTTATGCTGTAAAAATAGAAATATCAAATTTGTTTTTTTTTGGCATACTTCGATTGCATCTGAAATCCCTGGAATTGATGTCAATTCACCACCTATAACTTTAAGTGTGAAATCAAGCCCTTTCTGCTCACAAAAAAACAATAGAAGATTACTAAAACATGACTTTAAGAGATTATAACAAGTAATGAAGATCATTTACCAAGTTACCTTCTCGCGCAGTGAATAAGAAAGTGCCCCAAAGCAAGGGAATTCATCAATAAGAGGTTTAAATATCAACCTGAAAACACCTGTGAATCCTATATTTTTCACCTGTATAAACAACACACAGAGCTCAAGACCAAAAACTGCATACTAAATTTTATAATAATAGCATTACTAGTGGAGTACCTCAATCGGTAAAGCCACGCCAAGTAAGGTTTTGATATCCAACACGATTTTTGGATTACCGTCCCATTGCATTTCAAGTTCCATTGTAATTCCATTAGGTCCACTTTCACTTTCTAAGATAGAAACTCCTGAAAAGGAGTGAGCGTAACGATTTTTAATGGCTCATAAATCAACTAGCTTGCTAAAACTTTGAAAACTCTGAAATAAACTTTTATCTGATTACAACATTATTGTCCTCTAAACCGTATGATTCAAGCAAAACATCTACATAAACAAGATTGTTAAAATGAAACATCTTCAAGTTAGCGACTTACGGATAATAACTTCATAAATAAATCTGACACTATTAGCATATAAGTGTTCCTCGTAAAGCAATCTACTAGACAATTTATATGAAGCAACAAAACCAAACCTGTGAACTGAGGAGCCACAGTCCCGAGAGTAAATTTAGAGAACTTAAGAGATGCTAACATAGCTGGTGTATACTGTTCAAGTACTGGCTCTACACTGCTTTTAATCAGCTCAGAAGCTGCCTACAAGAGAGTAACCAACAAAAAAAAAAACGAAGTTAGTGAATATAAATTCAAAAAGGTAAGTAACCAATGCAATGAAAGTTACCTCATTTACATAAGGCCAGATCTTTTCAAGTTCAAGATTAAGCCAATTTAACTGTAATTTAATCAAGGACAAGTATCAATATCTCAACAAGGGTAAAAGACAAAACAAAATGATGGAAGTGAAAGAGACTTAGAATATAACTCAACTTTTGTCTCTGAGAAAACACAATCCAGGAAGGATAAAAATCTCCAGGGAGAAGTTTTCTCGAATCTTGAACAGTCATTCTTGCAAATGCAGCAATGGTCTTTGCCTTAAAAACCACCGAAAGAATTATAAAAACATTCTTCTTCTCATTTATTATTATCTAATCAATAATCACAAAAAAAAAAAAAAAAAACATATTAGGAAAATTGATTTTACCAAATCAGCTCGACGAGTGGATCTGACATTAGAATAGCGTGCAAATGCGACTACCAAACCGAAAGAAACTGCGATTCCTATGAACAAACCAAAGAGAAAACCCATTTGTGTTCACACTTCTCGACGGCTCGAACCAGGGAAGAGAGACACGATGATTTTTTTAGATGAGATCCATTCATCGGAACAGAGGAGTGCTCTGCTTCGAGATTAATTAGTGATCGACAATAAAGCCTAAAGAGGAGATTGCTTCAAGCTCAAACATTCTCTAATCTAATTTATTGATTATTTTGGCTTTAGACATGATTCTTCTTCATCTTCTTCTCTCTTTTTTCTTTTGCTTTTGATTTGATCCTCTCTAAATCTCAGTATCTCGATGTTCTTCTTCAATCTTCTTCTGCATGCTTCTGGAACTTTTAATTATTTAATCTTATTTAGACCCTGGTTTTATTTCGATCTTAGTATCCGTTTTTTTTTTTTTTTTTTGGTTAGTGCAAAAGATGACCGTGGTCGAGAAAATCAAACCGAACGAAATCAAAATAAGTCGGTTTGGTTTACTTGTCAGTCTCACTAGGTCGAAAATCGTGCTAGCTTAGGATTGGGCCCGGCCCAATTCACACAGAATTCCATTGTCTTACGCTTTTTTAAGAACATTCAATTTTCTGCCTGTATGAACCATGAAGTGTAAAGAAAGTAAGATATACGCATACACTGTGTATTTTTTTGTATTAACAGTTTAGTTTTGTATATATATAATTATTTTTCGGCAGATGTAAAATGGTGAAATTTATGAACTGCATAACTGTAATTACTAAAATTTACTATTAGGAATGTGGACTAACTTAACCCAAAAGCTAGCTCAAGAGTTAAAGATTGTCACATCCTATATATATATATTGTCCAAAGATCTTAATCCCAAGCAATGTGGGACATTCTAATAAGTCTCCTCGAGATGTGGGTGAGAGAAGATCTAACGGGAAACATCTCAAGCCCAACATCTCGGAAATACAACAAGACATGCTATTTATATGGGCCACATAGATGGAAAACCATTTTTGTGGGAAATTGCTTGTTGGACCAACCTTGAGCTCTGATACTATATTAAGAATATGACCTAACTTAACTCAAAAGTTAAAGATTGTCATATTCTATATATATTGCTCAAAGATCTTAATATTTACTTGGAAACGTAAAGATCGATAGTCGTTATCAATTATCAAAAACCTTGGAAGGATCACTTGACAATTTCATGGACTTACGCAACATATTTTGTCATAACTCATTAGTTTTCAACTAATTTCTGACTTTTTACATCACTTTTGGCATTCAATTACACTTCTTCTTCTCTCAACTTCTATATATCCGGCGCGAATCTCACACTAAGGTCAAATTGACTATGAACGTCGCCGTTTTTCTATTTCAATTATTGTACAGCACGATGAAACATTTGTTTTTGGCCCCATATATTGTAGGGGTCCATTTTATTTTTCAAAGTAAGTAATTACTCTCTTCGTATTGCAAATGTCAAACCTAAAATAGAAAAATATAATCTGAATTTATGAAGTAGAAATTCAATTTTTTCTTTCTTATGTGGTTCGGTTAACTTATGAGTACTGGTCCCGATTGTATTATCTTTATTATGAGTATTTGAACTTAAAACGAAAAAAAAAGAAGATGATATATTAGAGAGCATTGACTTTGAATTATTTAATCACTGCTATATATAAGATGGTTGTTCTAGGTACAATTCATTTTGAAAATTTGTTTGGTTAGCATTAGGTAACGTGTCGTCAGTTATATATGATAGCTAGTAAACAAACTGTTGAACAAGTATCTTTATCAACTTCATCATCAGTTACATTATGCATTGCATTAGTCCGATATATCACGTGTTGCCATTTATATGTTTAAAGAAAAAAGCTATCTTGTCGACAAAAAAAAAAAAGCAATAATGTTGTAACCAAAATTATAAGCGTTAAAAAAAAAAAAAAAAAAAAAAAATTATAGGCGTTAATTAGACATAAACCTAATTAAAAATACTGTTCTATTCATCTATCAAAACTAATAATTGGCATTTTGTTATTCATTACAAATTTACAATGAAGTTGTTATGTTTTGTCCTATATTTCACTAGTCATGAATGATGAGAAAGAACAAAGGAAAAGCATCATTGAAATTGATTAGATTGAGTGTGTGGAAACTCATGGTAGTACATATATAGTTAATTTATGCATTATGCTTCAAACAAAATCTCCTGTGCTTAAAATTTTTAGACTTACTTTATTTTTTCATTGATATATGAATGTGAAATGCATAAATCTGTGTACCAACGAATCTAGGAACTTCTCTTACTTTTTTGGCCAATTTAATTTTTCTTGATATATGAATGTGAAATGCATAAATTTGCGTCCCAACGAATCTAGGAAATTCATTACAGCCCTTAATATTCGCATAAGTAAAAAGGAAAAAAACACAGAATCTTTCTAGTGAGTGGTTGTAGTCTTGTAGATTATATAGGAGTGTGTGGTTAGAAATATTTGAATTATTCAGAAGAGAGAATCAGAAACTCACAGAAAGAATGTGAACGAGTTTGAGGAATAAACAACTTCTTTTTATTTAGACGCTACAAATAAAAAGACAAAGAAAACAACAACTTCTTTTGTAGTTTTTGTAGGAGTGTGTGGTTAGAAATATTTGAATTATTCAGAAGAGAGAATCAGAAACTCACAGAAAGAATGTGAACGAGTTTGAGGAATAAAGAAAAAGCCAATTGAAATTGTGCCATAGCCTTAAAAATTGCCGAAACATAACAGAAAAAGGAAAAAAGAAGAAGTTTTATATCATCTCTTTGTGGTTCCTGATTGTCACATTTAGTGTCTGAACATTGGCTCTTCTCTAGCTAAAAAAAAGTTAAAGAGCTAATTACTCATCTTAATGAAACCGTGTGGGTCATACTCATCACTCATGTCTCGTTTCTCTCTATCTCAACTGCTGTCTTAATTGGTAATCAATTTTTTAATGATTCGTTTAAATATAATGATGTATAGTTAACGTTGTTTAAGAAAATGAAAAAACAATTAACGGAAACATTCTGTTTTAAAATATTGATAACACCCGAAATACAAACGAATACGAACATCATATTTTTTCATCACCCGGCTCGAGATAGAAACCCTAAACAAACTAGTTGAGAATTCATCAAAGTTAGTAGTATTATAAAGTTTGAGTTTGTAACAGTGATACAGGAAAGAACAAAGACATAAGCCCTGTCTCTCGCATTTAATAGTCATAATTATTGAAACGGTTGATATCAATTAATCATATTGAAGACTGAAGAGCATCATGTGCCTGCCTCTCTAACTTTCAATTTTGCTATTTATAGCTAAATGTCACATTTGAAATTAGGTATTGAACAGCAGAAAATTTTGAATATTTAAGTCTCTCCTCGATCATTGAACTGCCGTTGTTGACCAGCCCTCAGGTTTATTTTCGGAATAACAATAAACAAATTAGTACTATCAACTTAGAAATCGTCAAAGACTTGATCGTTGCCGGTAAAATGGATACTCAAAATTATAATATTGGGAGTTGACCAGAAAAAAAAAAACTATAGGAAACAAACAACAATAGTAAATCATGCATGGTGCATTTGAGATGAATACGAGATGAAAACCGATTATATGATCTTATGGAAACAACTTTAGTTAATATAGGTCTAAGTCTTTAGTTAGAAGAAAATAAATTAAATGATACTATATAGTTCAATGATCATTTTCCTACTAATCAGAATGAGAAATTCAATTTTATCAGATACATGTTTAATGTTTTTGCCTTTCTATGTTGTAGGACAGTTTACTAACATGTACGAGTAAACCATTTGAACGTGGACCAAACAAATTGCCTTTAAACAATTTGAAATAGCTCGGATGCTAGAGACCAAAATCCTCGGAAAACTTGCTTGTTAAGCCTTGTGTGTTGTCCGTTCTATAAATAATCAAAAAACTTAAAAGAGAAGCTTTTAGAAGCTCAATAATTACAAGCCAAAGGAAAAAGGAAAACACAAGAAGTCGGTTTTGGAGGAAAAGATATTTGATATAATATAAGCATTAATATAGCATATGGTTCTTGGTCCATTAGTCATCTTCTTTTGTTAAAAGTCGGTTTGACATGAGAAAAACTTTAACCTCGCATACGTATCACAAGAGTAAGAGTGCACCAATACGTGTGATTTGAGAGAATACCTAGTGACTAGTGTGATATTGACAAACTAGTAATAAACAAGATTATATATACGAATATGAGCGAGCCGTATTGGTGTTGAACATTCTAGTGTGATCGTATGATCGATTGAACAACGACCCGACTTGTCACCCCACGGGAATGCCAACCCGCTAGCGTGTTGATCCGCTATGAGAGTGTCACTATATTACATCTTTTTATAAATTTTAGAGGCTAATTTTTTTTATAAATCATCATTTTACTATATTCATAAACTATATCCAACAAAGTATATCATGTGGAGGGTTCAAAACCTGACAAATACATGATTTTCAAATCTAGCTCTGAGTACATATGAAAAACATTTGATAGTCATTCGAGATTTAGGTCCTACTCTCATGAATTCCAACAAGTTTTTATTCATAAACTGATCTGAAGTATGAGTTTCGGTTTATACTTTATCATGGAAGAATTTATTATAAATTTGTAAGACTATTATTTATAAGAAAATATCAAGTTGGAGAAAAAGAAAAGAATAACAAGTTGGTTGAACTCCCACGCTTCATACACAAGCAAGCCTATCTTCAAGTCTTTTTCAGGAATTTCCAATCCGCCACGCAAAATACACTCTCACTTTCGTCATTTTCTGACCTCAACCTCACCAAATGTATGTTACTACCAAATTAATTTATTTTAATAACATCATTCTCTCGGTTAAACACAATTTAATATCACTTTTAAATTCTCATCAAGTGTGGTGTTTCTGAGAAGCCATTTAAAAATAAGCACGTCTTCGTTAGGGCCAACATGAGATTGAAGTCAGAAGAAGTAACGCTTAGGAATAATTAAAAACTAAATTAAATCAGCCATCAAGATAGGTGTATTACTTAATACTACTGCTACGTATCTCTCTGCAAATCTATTTAATTCTGGTACAAGCCTTATGTAAAATTTAAAACTCATGGAAAGATTCTAAATTAACGAGATGAAATCTTTAGTTAAACACCTCTTAAACAGTATCTCCCTTAATTATGGAAGATGATTCCTTACTTTATTCCTAATATATTATTCTTTTTTCGAATATAAGTTTGGTTTCCACCTCACCTAAATACGCTTGCACGCGTAAATCTTGTTTTTTTGATACACATTCATTGTTCTACGCTTTGCAAAAATTTGTGATAATAATTGCGAATATTATTTTCCATGTATATCTCTTCATATATTTCAGTTTTAGGAATTTCACAACCAAACAATTATACAGTATTAGGCAAGTAGTCAGCCGACCTCTTATGATGTCACTATGGATTGAACCAAATTTATGAAAAAGTATAAAAGAAATATCAAAGTGATTTATTTAATAAATCAATAATTTAACAATATGATGATGGCATTATATACTCTTCCAGGTAAGGAAGACGTGTATCCCATCTTTCATTCCACTTTGATCTCTTTATAAATTGAACGATCCCCTATTTCACCATTTATTCATCTTATTCTTTAGGTACAATTTATTGCTTTGCCATCTTACAAAATTTACAAAAATATTAATCCGGCCAATGATGTCGCTCTGATATTGAATATATGAAACTTCAGTTTTTTTATCAACTACCATTCTCAAATGATTTCTTATCCACCATATTAATAAAATTCAACTTGCTGAAGACATTTTAAGAAATTGAGGTGGAGACGAGTCATAACGAAACATGCAAAATCTGAATAAAGTAGATCCCACGTATGACATAAACAAACTTATTGGCACTTAACCGAGTCGTCACAAGAGCCATCTTCCACTTTTTCCCCTTTGCGAATAGAATAAACACATGACAGAATGAACAACATTTTGCAAAAGTATAGCGTTTCACTCGGTTAGTATCAGGTTATTGTAGTAACATAACGAAGCGGACCGAAGGTGAACCGATCAAACCCGAGGGGGATACGTCAATCAGAAAAGATCACAAGTCCGGTCCAACTTTGTGGTCGCCAACACATGCTATTCATCACTAGCTGACTCCTAAGTCTAACAATAGAAACCTTTACAAATAAACCAAAACTGATCCACGTACAAACATATTACAAAGTGGGTCATCACTCATCACCATCCATTGGCAACTTCAACTAGTTTAAGATTTTTGATGAATTTCAGCTTCTTTAAATTAAAATAAATCGAAATAAGTATTCTTGAATTAACTATAAATTATTTTAGAATAGGTAATATCCTGGCCGCAGAGGAATATGATCGAATATAATGAAATCTTCCAGATCAGGAAGACGTGTCTTTCCACATTCATGTCTCCCATTTTTCTTCTTTCAAACATTCCAATTTTTACTTGTTCATGAATCCAGAGATTCCCCAATTCCATATATTAATAGGTATTATTTCCATCTATTCCTCTAATTTATTCCATATGTTCAGTCATTTTCTAATTGGGTCACTCAGTTACCTAAACACTTTTTTTCCATTTCCCTCCTATGTAAATTTTGTCAGTCATGCTTTCCCTCCACAGCTTTTTCAATTTTTTTTTTTTAATGTCCAGAAAGTGAAGACCTTTTCCTCAGTCTTTTGTTTTTGCAATTTTATATATTTTTTCTTCTGATTTTTGTTTCGTTTTTCTCTCAATTCCATCCGAATTTTCATGTCCCGGGTTAGTCAAGTAGTTCAAACTCCATCAACAAACGCAACCTGCAAAATAAAAAACAAATCAAAAATGTCCACAAATATATTAAGTAAAATGAAACAGTATAAAATTAATAAAAACGAATGGAACATACCTCACACGACGAATACCTGGAAAACTCGGTTGAAACGACGACGGATAACGGCAAACAACGCCGGTCAACGAAAAACACGAACGTTGACTTCACGGAACACGCAAAAAAAACGCAAATCTGACAAACACAATTGGATGTGAGAAATGAGAAATCTCACTTTGTTCTATCAAAAATTCAATTCAGAAATTTGGATTCAGTTCTTTGATTTTCGATTTTAGATGTAATTTGGTGTGACTCCGAACATTTTTTTTTTTTGGTTTGCGAGAGAGAGAGAGAGCAACAAAAACAGTAAAAAGAGAAGTATGTACAATGCATTCTAGCATCTTCTTCACCCAACAACAAAAAAAATTATGATGGTGTGTGTTTCTTCGTTTTACAAAATCTCGATTTCGACGACGATTCTTCGCAGATCTCGCCTAGCTTCATAACAAGGACTTCATCGCCGGATCTACTAATCCTGTGGTGGTTTCTTTTAAGAGAAGAAGAACAACAAACAAAACAAACCTGAGAAAAATCTGAATTCCAAAAATCCAGATCAAATCAATTCTCATCATCAGATTTGGCCATGATTGAGAGCCGACTCGGACGAGGCTGATAAGCAGCTCGTCTTTTCAAATGATGCGAAGAAGGTCGAATCAAAGTCGTCAAAGCTCTTCTCACCCACTCTCCTTCAACACCACCAATTCTCACCAGCGAATTTGTCATCGCAGATCGACGCATATTCAATCCATTCGTTGTATACGAAGCTGTTCCTTGACCATGTGGATTCGCTACGTTCTTGTGTAGACTACATCTGAAAGATCCTGGATGCGTCGTTGGAGAACACATACATCTCCTTCTCGTTTCTGAGATCTTGTGACTGTGGTGGTGGCTCGGTGGCTGATTCTTCGATACGGAGATCGATTTGTTTGTCGGAGATATAGATCTGCTATCGAGAGAATATCGAAACGACTGAGACATCGGTTGCGCTGTGTAGAGATTCACACGAGTCGGTGACGCAGATCGGTGATGACTGTGGTTGTTCTCGTGATGACGGTGATTGCTGAAAAAAGCTGATGACGGAGACGAAAAGCTAGAACTCGTCGATGAAGCGAAAGCTGATGAAGAAGACGACGGAACGGCTCTTGAGTAACCACCGCAAAATCGACCCGACGGTGATTGTGAACGAAGCACCGGTCCGTTTGACTTGGTTCGTGACGAAGTAGTCACCATTTTTTTTTTTCCTTTGAAAGTCAAATTTGTGAAAGAAGAAAAAAAGTCTCAAGAGGAAGAAGAAAGAAGAAGTGCTTTTTTTTTTTTTTTTTTTGAATAGCTCTTAAGAAAGTGCCTAAGGGAGGTTGGTTCGGCAAACCTAGCGAGTCTCAGGAACCAAATTTATAGCAAAAGCTTGTTCAATGGCAATAAATGTAAATACGTTCAAAGATTTTGACCATTTTCGAAATTTAGGTGTTTCTATGTCGGGTTAGTCAAACTTAACCATGGTTAGTAATTGATTTTTAATTTATTTTTCAAGCTGAGGCGGTTTTGCCGTTTCGAAAAGAATCGGGTTCTGATCCAACGGCTGAGATGACAAATCAGAGGGAATGCTTTTGTGGGCAGTTAGAAAAGCTGCCACGTGTTATGACTAAGAAAGATGTCAGCTATTCTTAAGAGCATGATTATTGGTAGTATCTTAAAAATAACTCTTAGCAATATTTAAGTAATATATTTGTAAAAGTGATTGTTAAGAGATAATATATTTGAGTTAAGATTTTTGTGTGATTAATGATAGGCTCTTAACATGTGGTTGTTGAAAAAAAAAATTAATATAAAAATAAAATTTATAATTAATATAAAAATTAAAATTTTATAACATACATGACATAAAACACAATAGTAAGTCGATTTTAGGTAACCTAAATATATTTCTGACCACATAAAATTGAACAGATTTTTAATCTTATTTGTTTGATTTGTTTTTCATATTTGGAAAATTCAAAGCTTCAACTTAACGTAAGTAAACAAAGCCAAACGTTAGAAGATTGAAAATAGAAAATCAATTAAACATACAAGTGATCCAATAAAGTTTTTGAAAAAAGCATAACAATTAAGCACATACTTATGTAGGACTTGCTAAGTGATCGTATGGAGTAAAAAGGCGTAAATCCATGCATGATTATACGGAAATAGAAATTGTAACCTTAGCTAGGGTTGATGTTCCCTCTTAAAATAAGTATCAAATGTTTGAAAACAAATCAAATCAAAGCTAAGGTTGTCTGCATTCTTGCTCCTGCTACGAGATGTTGCCTTGATGAAAGGAACTACTTGGAGTTCTTGTTCGCATTTCTTTTTATCAACATCAACAACTTCTTCTTCTTTCCATGTAGTTGCTCTCCTTTTTACAGAGCTCCTCTGCTTCTTCTCCTTTTCTTCACATTTCTTCTCATCATCACAATTCCAATGTCAATAACCAAATCGTCAGACAATTCAAATTCAGACTCAATTCAAAAAAGACTTTGAGCTCAACTGAAAACCAAACCTAAACATATCAATCTAAGAACCATTTAAAGATGATTCTCCTCCAAAGGATGCAATTGCTACAGTTACTTGAGAAACTGACCAAAGGATGCTGCTGCTACAATTTCTTGAGAAAACTGGCTAAAGAAAGATTCGACAGGACCACCTAATTCCTCTTCAATGATAGTGCCTGCAGTTTCAAATCATGATCCAGTTAATGACATATGAAAACTAACATAGTCAGACAGATGCATCCCTAAGAGCAACCAAATGTGGCATGCAGAATGGAGAAAGAACCATGGAAACATGCACTAGCAAGACATTACGTTATACAAGTAATACGATTGACATTAGAAGCTAGGAGATTAAGACAAATGCGATTATAACTTCTATCTGACCTTGGAGATTTCAGTCCCAATGAAATATAGCCTCGTCGAAAGGGATTGACCAACTGGACCAACAGAAGAGATGGAAGTATCATTTGCAACAGAGCAAAGTATCCTTCCGCTGAATCTTCTACGCCGGAATTCGGATTAGAATCAACTTCTGCGACTCCAATACCCATAGATTCATGAACAATCGCATGATAACTCTCCGATTGAGGAGCTTGGTTTGATAATCTCTCAATTTCCGACGAAAATTCGTTAGCCTCAAGAGATTGGTAAATTAGGTCACCGGATATTAAACCAAGAGATCGGAGCGTATCCTCCGGCGAAGGCGTGATGAGCTCGTCTTTACGATTAAGCGATAGATATGAACGGAGAAGGCGCCGTGGGATTGAGCCGTCGAAGTCGTCTCCGGTTTCACAAACGAGAGAGAAAGAGAAAGAAGTCGCCACGTCATCGCTTCTTAACAATAGATTTGTCTCTTAGTTAAGAGACACCAAAGACACCTCTTAGCTTATTTCATTATTTACCATTTAATTTTAATTAAATTTAAATCTAAGAACAAGTTAAGAAACCATCGATAATGATGGTCTGAGTAGGAGAGTACCCAGAGAAAGATTAGATAATTACGTAAATTGCCATTGCCCGTTGTTTTGCCAAGAGCCGGATTTACATTTCCAATGGTTTTATTTTTTGTTTGTTTTCTCGTCACATTCCAATGGCTCTGTAACGGTATTCATTTAGAGTATATTTATACAAAAGTTTAGCATCTAACAACATTTGTGTAAATTGATCAAAATAAAGCTTTTTTGCCAACAAAACAAAATAGTTTTAATAAAGGGTAAGAAAGTTCAATACTTATTGATTAGTGAGCTAAAATTACACATGTCAAACCATTCAAAGTCTACCATATAAATATGACTTTAAATTGGGTTTATAAAATTAATTTAATAGCAATTTGAAGATTTATTTCATATGTATTTGGTAGACTTTGAACAGTTTTATATAAACATATTTTAAATAATTAAATTGGGTTTATAAAATAAATGTAATAGCAATTTGATGATATATGACTTTTAGTAATTTTAGATTTTGTAGTAGATATTAAAAGCATACATTAATCAGATTTAGCACTCTATTGATCTTGTTTGTTTGTCTGATACATGCCTTTGGTCTATATGGTCTCTTAACATCAATATTAGTTGCTTCTTTTCTTTTGGTTCACCCATACTAGTTGCTAATATCCAACAACATCAATATAGAAATCATATAAAGTTACATCTATGATCTAACTGATACCATCATTATAAAGTAGCTACGTTGGCTGCAGGTTAAACCCTTACAAAATGGTTTAAAGCTGGAAGAAGAAATAACAGACACTACCAAATAAAAAAGGGCCAAAGAGAAAGGACTTGATATAGCTAGTTCTTTAGAAGGCAAATACTAATCGTCAATTCGTAACACTTTAAAATTTTCGTATTATGATGATAATTATATTAGTCAAGAGTTAATCAACACGTAATAATTATTATCACAAGTAACAAATTAACATATTTCAACAACTTTTCACCTCAAACCTACTGGTGAGTTAGCCAAACTCTTGAATGGGCTTAAAAGCAAGGTAACAACAATAACAACGAATCCAGCATTTGGTGTAAAGTTGTTATGGAGATCCATGCAATTGTGTTTAATACAATATTATACCTAAAGAGTCCCTACAAATTGATGGAACTACTGACTCGAACACTATTCGGATGTATTAGAACATTTATCGTAAAGGTATAATCTCTGCAGAAGGAATTCGGTGATGAACTCAATCAACCGTGGCAATAATGTCTTATTCCAATGCGGCCTTAACTGCAAAATACAAAATATGCTTAGACAGTTTTTGCCAATAATAGTTTTGTAGAATATCAATTTTAAGAATTTGATGGATAAATTTCAGAAAGTTCTTACCAACCAAACTTTAAACACGGTTTCCACAGATATTAAACGTTTTGACGGTCAGAAACCACCTAAATTTTGTCTAAATTAATAAAATATTTAAGAGAGAATTATGAAATCTATAATCTGTAAAAGGTTTAAGTGAGACTTGATGAAGAGTATAATTAATGTTGGGAAGAAGGTTAATCTACACCATCTCCTAAATTTGATTGAGATTATTAAAAGTCTGATCTACTCTGTTTTCGAAGTTAATCAATATCCTTTTTGATTTGGACAAAGAAGAACAGTGGATTTGCGTGTATTCTACAATGGTCTCCCATTTTATGATCACGATTATACAAATTCTACTTATATATATAGTTGCATGTCATTTGAAAAGAAAATTGGTCTTGACAGAATCCATATTATGTAATTCTTAGTATCTATCACCTATCAAACGTTAATACCACTAAGATAGTATTATCACCTGATAAAAACTAAAAAAAAGTGGAAACTATATTAGAAATTATATAGTACTCTTTATGTTCCTGAAAGTTTGATGTTTTAGAGTTTACACATATATTAAAAAACAATCATGATTCAATCATTTGATAATTTTTTCTTTTTATTAATTTTTTTTGATAATCTATGAACCAATAGTAATCTAAAATAGTTAATTATTTGTAATCACTACGTCTTGAAATCTACAATTTATTTAAAATAATTAATAAAAAATAAAATAAAAAACTAGAAAATAAATTTTTGAGGAACAAATCTAAAACATTAAAACATCAAATGAGGAACAGAGGAAGTATATGATTAGGTGGGTACGACGATTGTATAACAGTTGATTTGGACGAATCTAGGCAATAAAAATAATTAAAAATAGTAGTAGATCACAATAATGCGGGGGCACATGGAGGTCGTGTTGGGTGAGTTAGGGACAAAACAGTTATTTTTGTATGGTCGGGACACACAATGTGATAAAGCAATAGGCTACAACACTCACACCACCACGTCCACATTACTACGACACGTATGGTTTAGGGTCACACGTGTCTACGCTTCTTCTAGCATCATTACAATCCAAGAGACAAAAGTGTTTAACTGGTGATCCAATGTCTGACACTGGATTTAGAGTGTATGTTGGATTTATTTAGCACCGTCATGGTCAGTGCCGGTCCGGCATATATGAGTGCCCTACGCAATTCCTAAATAATATGCCTTGTTCATATCACACTTCTAGTAGTGACATATTTCTACGAATTGAAACAAGTAAAAGAAAAAAAAAAATTAAACACTTAACCAGCAAAAGTTATAAACTAAAACTGTGAAACAATATCAAAAGAAAACAGAGAAGTCAAAAAGAAAATTAAAAAACTAAAGAAAACTAAGAAAAATATTATAAAAAAAAATTTTAACAACTGTATGGTCGTTTTTTTTTTCTTTTCTCTAGAGTTTATGATTTTTTTTACTTAAGCCTTTAGTTGTTTTACTTATATATGAAAAAGCCCACAATATTTATCTAAAAAGATCCTACACAAAAATTCATAGTATAAACATATATGAAAAAACTTAAGAAATTTTTATCTGAAAAGGCCCTCAAAATTTGAGGCCCGAATCAGTGGCTTCACTTGCCTGTCCTATGGGCCGGGCCTGGTCATGGTCATGGTCTGGTCGTGGTCATGTGATTATTCTTTCTTATTACAATCCAAAAATCCACTAGTGGATCATCTCGACTCACCTTTTTTTTTTTTTTTGGGTTTAAAGTCTCAACTCAACTTTTTTGTGGTGAAAGCAAATCTTTGTTCCTAATCGTTTTTTGCAAGGAAACTCTTTTACTCCAGTGGCGATAAAATCATAAGAGTAATTTTCTGTATATATATATTTTTATCATAATTCGTTATTCTTTTGGCGAGTATAAAGCGTGTTAAAGTCTTTTTCTAATGGAAAAATATGTCCGATATCTCATGCACTATAAAAAGGTGCTTTCAGAATGTAAAACTGAATATAGAGGGCTCGATGGCCGATGCCAATGGACTATGGTAAAGAGTAAGGATTATTTAATTTGAGCTCAAGTTTAGGAATCCTATTACAAAGAATAAGATGCTTATTTTACTCCGGGATATTTTCATTTTATTGAAGTGGTTGTAGCAATGATGTTGTACTAGCATCCAATATTATAATGTATAGATTTCAATAATTATGATATTATGCCGATTTGCCATTGTTTCTTCTCCATTTCGACATCTGTTTGTAGATTTGGTTAATCAATAACCATCCACTAAAAGAGACATTTGAATATCTTAGTATTATCTAAACAATCCAGAAATCTTAACTATTTAAAAGAATTAACTTATTCACCAATAATGTTTTTTTCTTTTGGTAAAGGTTTCAATCATATCAATATTGACTCTTCTCTCTTAAATGTTTTTTTAATATATTAAACAATTTGAAGAAGTGATTGTGATTTCTTAGAGCATGATTAAAAGCAAGCTCTTATAAAAATCTTAAGTTTTTCTTAACATTTAATGCAATATAATTTAATCAACTTTGTGCTTTAATGTTAAAAAACGTTCCTTTCCTTAGCTAAGAGTCATGTTCTAAAAATCTCCGTCTATTCCGATTACTCCCCGCTTAATCGTTAGGCCCACCCTATCCGCTTCGATTAATGACTAATCCCCTAAAGAAATCAGTTACCCGATTACTCTCCGTCTAATCTGATTACTTCTCGCCTAATCCGATTACTTCCTGCCTAATTTTACATATCCCGATTATTTTTAGATTTCAAGTATTAAACATTTATGCTTTCTGTTATTTATGTTATAAATTGTATCTCATGTATGTTTTATTTTTTTTAATTTGCAACTATTATTAAATTTTCTATAATTATAAATTTTATTTTTATGTTATTTTTTTTTCTTCTAAGAACCACATGTTAAGAGCCTACCATTAATCACACAAAAATCTTAACTCAAAAATACTATCTCTTAACAATCACTTTTACACATATATTACTTAAATATTGCTAAGAAATATTTCTAAGATACTACCAATAATCATGCTCTTAGTTTTAACTTTTAACCATTCACCCTATTATAACATGTGTGTTTTAACCTTATGAATATTGATTTTGCTATTGATAACCATTTGCATCATTTTGCATTATAAAAAAAAAAAAAAAACATTTGCATCATATTGTACCTATATGATAAAAAAACATGACTTCCACCGAATGCATGCACTCCAGACTTAAACACACATGTTACACTAGAATGGTGTTACTCGTAGAAAAACCGATGAAATAAATCTTAAGGAAAAAGAGTTAAATGGAATAAAAGAAATAGATGAATAATTATGTTTCACCAGTTCTTTGAAAGAGGAATACTTTCTTTTAATAATAGTTCTTTACTTTCAGTTTATTTAGTGAAATGAGTAGAGCTATTTTCCTTTCGTTTTTCATCACAAATGGTGTAAAAATTTAGAAAATTGGTGTTGTTTTTAATCTGTTTTAAGTTTTAATTGTACAATTTGCAGTTTTGTACCATTACATTGTAAAGAAAACTTTAATTAAAAATAAATGTTAAAACCCCACGAGAAGACTGTCGTTCGTAGAGAATAGAGATACTGTCGTGCCAAAGGTTGTAATTGTAACACACACACCAACCCACCTATACTCCATAAATTGCATTAATCATTGACGTTTTAAGAGATAAGTGGAAACTGAAATTGAAAGACTCCCGATATAGGGCTCATAAATGCGACGATATAATATGAATAGAATCATTATAATAATTGTCCCAATTTACAATTTAACGGTTTAGCCAACCAGAAATTACAGTAATTTGTTTCTTAAATTGAAGTTGCTGTTACAAAACTACTGTAATAGTAATAATTAAACATGAATGACTAATGAGTTTCAAATAGAGAATTGGAGACCATGTCCCGCCAATAGAAGACCAAGAAACAACAATATTAGTTTATCGTATATATATATTTATAATATGCACTAAAGACTTGGTTGCATGTTATAGGGCGAGTTTAAAACGACGAAGAAGTAGTCACCAAAGTTATTTTATATATGGAAAATCATCATCTTCTCCTCAACAATGCAGGGAGCTAAAATTAATAGCAGTTAGGCCTTTGTAGTAAAAAATGTTTAGATTGGGTATGGACCCAACAAAATAATAATATATACTTTAAAATTGGGTATGGGCCCAAAACCCAAATCTTTTTTTTTTTTGCCTACCCTTAAAAACGGGCCAGCATGGGCCACACACAATTTCAATTTTTTCCCTCGAAGATTCTTGTAGCCTAAATCCACGTTTTTCATTTCACAAAAGAAAATGAGAATACATGATTCTGTGAAACTTCGATTCAAAATTCTCTAGATCTTGATACGAGTTTTTTTTTTTTTTTTTTAAATTGTTTCTTGGTGATGATCGTGGAGTAAGCTTTTCATAATCGATCACCAACTGAACAAATTATGGAGATTTAGTTGATAAAATTTTAGTCTTTGGCTGGTTTGGTTTAGTTTTCTCGTCTTTGATTGGATTCTGTTTCATTTCGTTCTCAGGTTTTTCAAAAGCTTTTGAAAGGAATGGGTGACATGGACGATTTCACGGATTTGATTAGGATAAAGATTTAAGATATTGCATTATACAACACAAAACTTAAGTGTGGAGAGAACGGTAAGATTGATCTTTTGTTTCTTCTTGTTTGATCATTAATCTTTGATGAAACCAATGGCTTCATATTTGTTCTGCTATATATAGATTATTTTTATATGGTTTGCAGATCCATGTAATAGAATTGAAGCAAGAAATTTCTTACTATTGTGGAGTGTCGCCGGAACGACAACATCGCTTGTTGTTCCGCGGAAGACTTTTGAAGAATGATCAAAGCTTATCAGATTATCAGAAACGACACTCTGTATCTGGTTGAAGGACCACCACCATTTCCACGATCCTCTAGTAATGCACGTGTACATTTTCCCAAAAATTCCATTAATTGGTCACTCTGCAGGTGATTCCATATTCTATCACAACCTTATCTCGACATCTGAATCGTTTAAGACAAGTGTTTGCTACCTATGGTTAGACATGGTTTCTAATTAGTTGAAATAAAAGCTCTGAGGTTCTGTGACATTTTGTATTAATGTGAATTTTCTAGGTAACAATGATGATAACAACAGGCAAGCTCCTAGCCGTTCTAGGGAAGATCTGATCGCAAGAGTTGGTACATACGACAAGGCGATTGTTGATTGGTGAAGTTGCTGAATCAATGTTTATCAGTATGTTTTCTTTTTGAAGTTTCTTCTTCTTTTGAATCGAGTCAATACCACATGCCATTAGGTTTCTTTATTTTGGGATAAAGTGGTCTCCCTTGTGCAGAATATTTCAATGCTGCTTGTGGATGAAGTAAATGTCACGGATCCATCAGCCCGAAGATTGCGGCAAGAAAGAGTGGTTGAATCAGGAAGCCTCTTGTGTAACTTAGGAAGTTCACTTCTTGCGCCACCTCAAGAATTAGCATGGGAGAAACACAGGTGTGTACATATCTGATTAATCTTGCAGATGCCTTTGCGTGTATTTGTATGTCTACAATAAAACCCTTGTCTTTTTGGATTCATCTCAGGATGATGTTGGTCGTGTAGTGTTCATATCCCCAACAGGGCAAAATCGGTAACAGGTTTGTTCTTCTGTCTCTTTCTTCATTACCAATGGATTTCTTATTCATTGATATACAATTTGACCTTTTTCTTCATATAGTCACATCACTCTTGGCTGCAAACAAGTATCGGAGCAGGAAGGAGCATAAGAGTTATATATTTCACGTCGGAGATCATCGAGGAATCAACAACATTTCGATCTCTATTTCGATGCATCTCAAAATGTAGACAATACCTCCTCTCCTCGACTTACCACAGATGTAACTAATGGAATCATGGCGATATAATAATACATATACGCTGTGTCATTATAGCTATGATGAGTGTGTCTGCGTGTATATTATATAATTGGTATCATTGCGCAGGAAGAGCTTTCAGATTCAGATTCAGAACATGAGATGGTAAACACTAAACACAGTAACTACTTTAAACATATACTATAGCAAAGCCAAGAAAGAGATGGTTGGAGTTTCTGCCTCTGAGACACTGTTTTTGGATGTGGATGACGCAGAGCGAGTGAAAAAGGAAGCAATTAGAGACGCAAAAAAGAAAGCTTTTATATTGTTTTCACATTAGACTACAACACTAAAAAAGTCTTTTCTTATTTGTTCATCATATAATAACACCACCTTTGTTATAATTATTTTCCAATAAGAACTGATCCTTTTAAAGTCAGCTAAATCAAAAGCAACAAACTGGGGACTAACTTTATAAGGAAATTTCTCTAGCAGCACATAGTAAAGAACTTTCTTTTTTTTTGGTGGGAAGTAAAGAACTTTTTTTTTTTTTTTTTTTGTCAATCGGTAAAGAACTTTCTTTATATTATACAAGTATCAATTTTTTATTATTATTACCAACCTGAGGAATTTAAAAATTACAAAATAAACCCATAGAAAACGCGGATCGGGCCCAAGCCCACGCATCAACCACGGGTTTTTGTAACTCTCCCTTATCTTTTTTTTTTTTTTTTCCTATTTATTCTCAACAGACTCATTCTCTTTCTCTCACTTATCTTTTTTTTTTTTCTAATTCAAGAAACCATATAATTTTCCTCTGTTTTTTAACAAATTCATCAAGAAAAACATTCAAGATCAAGAATGTACAACGAATGCAGCTCTCCCTCCACCGCAAGATCAACGACGAGAGGAACTAATCACCGAATGAGATCTCCGATCTGTTGTGTAGGAGCCAACGCGGTGGTTGAGCCTGAAGCCATGATGATCGGAGAACAAAGAACTCCGAGATCTCCTTACGAATGGCTCAAATCCACGGCGCAAGAACTCGAGTTAAGAGATCGGTGCCGGCGCGTGAAGTCACGTATCAAGGTTACGTGTCGTAACAACAATTGTGCTTATAATTGTGTTCATCATCATCAGAGACATCAGAGCCATCAGAGTTATCCTGGAGATTTCAGTTACGATCCGTTGAGTTACGCGCTCAATTTCGAGGATAATGTGCGAGCTGATGAAGACGGCTCTTTCCCGAATTTCACGGCGAGGTTGCCTCAGTCGCCGGTGACGAAGACGAGATCAGCGACGGTTGATTTGATCTCGTTTTGACGGTTAATAAATTAAAATTCTCTTTTTTAAAGAAAATCTTTTCGTTTTCTTTTGTGTGACGGTGGAATGTAACTGTTCGCCGGAGAAATGACGTAAGAATATGACGTCATGTATATGTAAATGCTCTCTCGCCATATTGATTTGATATACTTGTGAAATTGATGTGTGCCAAAAAAAAAAAAACAATTTCTATATTTCTGACTAATTTGATCGATTTCACTTATGCTTTGTTGACTTGTTCTTCAAATGAGAGAATTGTTTTCAAGTATAATACAGAAATTGTTATGGACAACCCTAAAATGTGGGTGTGGATCTAATAGATGGTTAATCATTGCATATTTGTTTCCATCATTTCAATCTGGATTTGATATTAGTGTTCGTTAATTACCACACTGTATTTAGATGGAACAAGAAATGCTTTTGGATTCGTCAAGAACTATAGCAAAAATGATGAGTGAGCAGATTCTTGAGCTGAGGATTAAAACTAGCTTGTAGAAACATTTTAACTTTATAATATTAATGATTTATGGATCGTGATCATTGAGAACGTTGTAGCAAGACTGATATTTTTTTGGAGGTAAAAACACCACTTTAGTGTATATATTTATGGGCTGTTTTCAATCATATAAAAATCTTTGTGTAGTCATCTATAGTATTAAACTCATCATGACGAGAAGAAAAGGGGTTTTGAGTATACTTTTAGAACACAAGAACCTGATTCAGCTACCGGATGAATTATATATGAATTTCATAATTAGAAGAATCACTCTTTACGTTTCGGCTAATTATGAATTAGGTTAGAAAAAAGAACCTTTAGTGTCTGGAAATAGTATTAATCAAAACACAGAGATTCTGGTAAGCTGTCACGGGCATAAAGCCGGTTTAAGATAGTGGAGGCCAATTATCGTATTATCCACAATATTTAAAATTAAACTATAAAACACAAAACAAGTGGAGATGCTGAGGATAAGAGTGTGAAGTGAAGTGAAGTGAAGTGGGGAAAAGTGAAAAAGAAAAGCGAACCAAAAACGCTTTCTCACCTGTTTTTTTGTTTTTTTTTTTTTCACTCACCTGTTTGACGTTTGTGTTGTTACATAGTGATACATACCACTTGCCACCAGTCGACATGTCTCTTTCTCTTTTGATGCCTCAAATCTTTCTCGTTTTGTCTACTATACATTTTTTTTTTAGTGTATTATACTCTTTTCTACTTTTTTCCCTTTCAACTATCTCTAGACTTGATCTCCTATCGAGACTCGAGTCACAACAATTCGATATCAATCATCGTCATTGATTGTTTCCATTTTAGATATTTGTATTCACCACTAGTCCATTACATTTCTATATAAACATATATCGTGTTTCTAATTAAAAAATGTATTATGATATTTTTATAAATTGTAAAGGTGTAATTTTTTTGTCAACTGTAAAGTTTGTTTTGTGGCAAGAGAGATAAATTGCATCATGTCTCCAACAACGAATATAGATATGCCATCAAAAAATAATGAAATCGTGACGTCCTCAACTTGCAATTGTTACCGTACCTAGATGAATTCCTTCATCGCATATTAAAATATACCTTAAAATATATAATATTGAGATTTAATGTCAAACTTCATTCGAACGTTATTTCCTCGTATTGGTGCTCGAGGAAGAGCTTCTTCTCTCATAAATATTCTAAGCTTCAGAGAAACACCAGACGAATCTAATATTTGTATCAATGTTTATCTTAATATACTTTTTATATATAAAAATATCAGAAAATGTTCCTCATATATTGGCGGCTAACGTGTACCAGAAAGAAGCGCATGATAAACTAGAGAGAATGTTGAACTTCTTTGTCGTCCTCTCTGTTTTATTCTCTATCTAGTATCTATCCTCCAGTTACCCACTAACACTTTATTATTTTGTACTTTTTTTCTGCGTCACTTTCAGATAACGAATCTTTGATATCTTCAGCAATTGTAAATTGATTTTGAAAAGAAAAGTATTATCCATGATGACAAAAGAGAAGAAGAAGAAGCAATTGTTTCGTCGCTCGCTGCTGCTACATAACGGATAACACAGAGAGCTAGCTGTCTTTTATGATTTGGCCTGCTTTAAAACGCTCCACTCATATGACGACTGTCTTGTAAGTAGAAGACAAGACCAATCACAAAACCCCACAACGTTCAGAATGCCACGTCATGCAATCTTATTATTCTGCTGCAAAAGGATACTCTCTCAACTCCTACCACCAGTCCACTAGTCTAACAATAATAATTGAAGCCAAAACCCAAATTTTTTTAATCTGACATTGAACCAAAGTTCATTTATAATCCAATTGGTTTTATTATGGTTAAAACAAAACCAAGAGCTACGTTTTAGTGTAGCCGAATCAAACCTATCAGAAGAAATCGAATTTACCTCAGTTTTACTTACATTGTCAGCTCATTGAGCTCAACACTGATTGATGTTTAATGACTTATGCTAGTATTGTTGTTACTTAATCAACTTGATTATTAAGATGAACAAAAAAAAACCTTATATAGTATATGGAGAGTATAGAGAGCACTAATGTCTATTGTTAGGTCCATCACTCAGAATCAAAACCCTAATTACTCCTTAGAGACAAGATGCTTTTTTTTTTTTAACTATTTAAGTAAACCCTGCAAGGTAGAGAGAGTCTAGAGACGATGAGGCCCATAGTGGACAATAAAGAAACCCAGGTGGAGACAATGAGGCCCATAATAGGGGAGAGGGGGTCAAAATGGAAAAACTTAAAAATAGGTTTTAGTAATTTTGACAACGGTGGAGAGAATCTCTCTTTCGTTCGTTTGCCGGCGACCTTTGCATTTTTTGTTGTTGTTGTTGCAGAGTTGGTCGTATCATTAGGGTTAACAAATGGACATACGAAGTGGTTCCACTCACAAAACAGAAAAAAATCGAAACAGTTAATTAACAATATATATATAGAATATAGTCATGAAGCTATATAACTAATATAGATGTATATGCATATTTGTGTAGATTACGGCCAATGATTGCACAAATGCTATAACGAGAAATCTCCATGTTATTCACAAGATATAATGATGGATTGATGGTGGAGATGGCAGTGACGACGACTGCCGATCCTATCATAAAGTAGTCCATCTAAAACCTCATATTACAAATCATACTTTGGGGCTTGATGTGTTCCCTAATCATTACGAACTATGGAAGTCATACCATGTAATGACACAAAATTTACGTTCTAAGTTTCTTGTGTAAGAATTCTTGTCTTCATGATGTCTCCAATTTTCTAAAAAGCTTTTGGATCTCTCCATGCGAGCTTCAAAGTGACCTCAACGCTCTCTTCCGCTATTTTCACCTGCATTGCTTCATAAAGAAAACTCCCCAAATTTAATGACTCCATGTGTCTTAAAAATGTAACTAAACACTAATCTAACCATACCTAAATTAAACAAGCTAAACTTTGTCACACCTAACATATATATTTCAAAGATTGTATCGTATATGGTCTGATCATATATTAATTGGTCCTATATATCTTGGATAAATAACTCTTCCTACAAAGTTTTGTTGGTGTGAAGTACCTTCTGCGTTTGTTCTTTGAGACGGTAGAAGAAGATGGATTGCTATGCCAGTTCCTCTTTCTTTGGTTGATGAACCAATTGTTTATCTGTTTGAGCTGCAAACCTGTCTCCTGCACCAACCTCGCCTTATCTTCCTCCTGCCAAAAGTTATCATATTATTTTAAAACATAGAAAATTGAAAACGCAAATAAAGTCGTGAAAATAATAGTCCAAGATTTGTGGGACAAATATGAGCGATTGTAGAAGTAGAAAGAGTGAACTCACAGTAGGGTACGGCCACTTAGAATGAGACTGCCACCATGCTTTGAGAACAGAAGTGGTGTCTCCTGGTAACTTTCCAGCTCTTCTCTTCCTCAGTATCTCCTCTCTTATGTCCACAATTTTCTCCTTATAACCCTTTATACAAAAACATGGGTCTATATCATTAGATCAAGCTAACTATAGTGTGTACCACAAATATTTTGGGTTTGATGCATGCATATAAGTGTCAGGTAAGTAGGTAGATGTTGTAAACTGACAACTCATTAAACAAGCTTCAGACAAAAAAATTTCTAAATTCATTGAGTCTTTTAGAAGATCAAAAATAAAGTTTTGATAAGTTCTTGATTGATTGGACTTAATAGAAGCATATCTTTCTTTGGGCTACAACGATATATAATAAGGTATGAAGGATGTGTTTGACTAAATGATGGATATAATATATATCAGTAGTTACCTGCTCAAACAATGTGTATGACTAAATGATAGAGATAATATATATCGGTAGTTACCTGCTTGAGTTCATGTTTAAGTTCTTGTCTGACTCGTTCCATCAAAGATCTCTCACTCTCAGTGGGAACTAGAGGACCAAACCCTAACCCATCTAAGCTTCCATCAAACAACGGAGCATCACTCTCTACTTGCTCATCTTCATCCTCAGACATTGTTGCTCCTGTGCCTTCACCAGGAGATACTCCTGTCTCACCCATCAAACAAGTGTTAAATCCTTAAGAAATAATCGGGTACTATAAAGTATAAAACAGCAATAAAATGAGAAATAAAATAAAAGAACCTTCTCTTTGTCAATACAAGAGTTATCATTATATCTAAATGGCAAAGAAATGTTAAAATTTGAGAAGAATTCTCAAAAACTAACCTGTAAAACTTTGAAGAGACTGCTCAATCTCCCAACAGGCCATAACAGCTTCCATTGCATGAACCCGAACATGCTGTTGCAATTGTTCTTTGAAAGAGCAAAGCAGTAGTACATAATGCGTCTGCACAAAAACATGGAAATATCTTTATCTTTCAGACAACAGATACAATCATACAAATACGTCCATGAATAGTAAAATATGGATATAGATACAGAAAATGACAAACTAGTTTTTGTCAGATCACTGTATCCGTAACTGCAATCAATGAAATTGCTCAATCACTTACACTCGCAAAAATCTATCTCAAAATAAACCTTCCGCTGTCAAATTACTACTGTACAAAACTAATATTCAAATTTTGACTGACGATTTATCCAACCCACTGATCATGTGTGTCGGTGCAAAGTACAATTCTACTAATGAAATTTCCATTTTCTTCTCTAGTTTTTTATAAAAATTTTTTTTGAAAAAAAACAAATATTCAAATTTGTCAAACCGTGTTAAATATAGA